AATACGTCTGCTCGCCACCGCCACTTCAGCAGGCTAGTGTGTCAGTCCACTGGATGTGCAAACTCAACTGTCACTGCCAACGTCACAAAAAGCACCAATAGTGACCTCATACATCCCATCATGGTGGATGCTAGCATTGCTGTTTTTTTATTGCATACTGGTAATAAAAAAGACAGAAAGCTTGATAAAATGACAGATTTATACAGATATGTTGAGAATAAATAATTACATTTCCTTGGCTTTACATTATGTAAGTCTGCCACGGTTATTTTATGGCTTGTGGTGTCAACCTGCTGTTTTTGCCTCGTGCTCATGTCCTTTCGATAGATTTTATTATAAGTTTGATTTACAGACAGAGATGATGGGACATTTCCTTATGACTTAAGGGATCTCTAGCTTGTCTGCCCTATTGTTCTTCAAATGTTAAAGCAACAAAAAATACATCTTAGGATGCTTTATTAATAGACTCGGTAAGATAAATACATTTAACTGTCCAAACAAAGCTGGGTTTCTTGTTAAAGTTTAACGGCTGTTTTAAAAAGAAATTTCACCAAAGGAGCTACTTTTTTGTGGCTGTCATAACAAAAACAAAGCACTCTCTTCTGAGATGGAAATAAATTGGACTGGGAATGCCCAAAAGGTATTTTTAGTTGCTCAAACTTCTCCGCCAGCGTTTGATGATGGGAAGGCCTACAACGGGACAAAGAGATCTTTGAAAACGCATATTTACATCTGTTGTACAAAAGCACAAGCCAACATCTGAGGCCCTGTTTCAGACAGGAAGTTGTGTCAGTAAAAGGTGTGGATGTGAATAAATTCTGTCATGCAAGTGAGAGACAAATATTTATATATAAAAAAATTGTTATCAGATACAATCATACTACATCAACATGCTGGAAAGCTTCTAATAATCCCATGTTGTTGAGATGTTCATGTCCGTTATTCACTTCATATAATCCTTTGTGAGGATGCGGTCTATGCTGCCGCTGCGATGACGTAGGCTGCAACGTGCCCTGTTGGTCCACCTATTTCATAAGTTTGGTTTTGCCCTCTCCCGGTGACTCATACAGCGTTTCAGATTATGAAACAGATCGAACTGAGAGCCGGGGGGTTACCATCTATTTATAGGGAAGAGCTCATATACAAGTTTTTAATCCAGCTCTGTATGCCCTCATGGCTCGCAATACACGTTGTGATGTAACATGTTTGTTCGGGTGGATTGCTCTGTAGCATGTGTTTCTTCTTGCTGCTGTTCGAGTGCGACTCTGTCCGCCTGGGATGAGCATCTGATCTCTGCAGTGTTCGAGCTAAAGCGGCACTAATTGAAATGCTAACCCAGATTCATTAAGATGCCTTGAGTGCTGTTGGAAGCAGATCACTGTAAGCCCTCTGTGCATGCTGTTTATAAATGTGTAGGGTAATGATAATCACAAAAAACATGAGACAAGGTGCATTTTTGATCATGTGTTTTTATTGGTTTATATATTTGCTTTCTATCACAATGATGTCCATGAAATGTTTCGGTGGCTTTTTTTCTTTATTTGCTAAATGTTCCCTGCACAAACACAGATACAAATGCACATGTGTCATCTTCAAGGTATGATCAGTAAATAAGGCAACTTAAAAAAAGAAGGAATTAACATGTTATCAGTGATGTTACTTGTCAATATAGTTTCATTTACCATGAATGCCAACATATCCCGGCTCTAGTTTTCCCAACTTTTCCACACTTCTAAAATAAATCTAATATTTAATCTACTCTTAACTTTTAAATAAAACTAAATGTGACAATGAAATGCCAATCCAGTTCACTGGCTGTGCATTCTTCTGCACGATATATATGTCCACCACTTATACAAAAGCATCCTTTACAAAAACTAGCCTATTTTTTAATAAATATAGAACAATCTTAAAGTAAGCGCACAGTTTGCTGATTAGTCTAATGGGCTTCTATAATGTCCTTAAAAGCTTTCACGGTTTCAGCGTATAGTCTCAGGATTTATAATGCATGGATATCCGCAAGCATTTAAATATTCATGTTGCATAACAATGAAAAATTAGGCCTTATTGTCTCCCAATTAATACCATCAACACAGTCTGTTTGCACGTTGATTTGACTTAAACAATAATGTATAATAGATAAAAATCTCTTCTATAAAACAATATCCATTCACAAAACATCTGTTTGCTTGCTTGTTTGTTTTATTAGCGGTTACAAATCTGAGTCACTTTACTCCTTTAAGATGATGTGAGACTCCTGGCGGAGTGGTGCGAGGATTTGATTGGCTGAAATCTGTGAATGGTGAACGTTCGTGATTAACATTCAGGTCACAACACTGCAGATTTCATTCACTCCTCGGTTTCCCTGCGGTTTCTCCCAGACGATGCCACATGAGGGAGCTCACATTTAACTGCGCAGCAAGCCTTCACATCTGGGCTTGTGTGATGAGGCACGGTGTTAACGAAAAGAGACGCAGACACATGATGCACATGTTGAATGACACCAGTCTGACCTGCACCGAAGGATCACTTCAGACGTCTTCATATCAGTTTCTAGCAGTGACGCGGTTAATAATTCAACAAAGAAAATACATTCAGTTTAGCTTAACTCTTACAATACCTGCTAGTGTGAAAGGAAGTGTGACAATACTTCATCTGAAGCAAGAATAGCAGCGAGAAATTCTAATGCCTATAAGGTTCAAGTCGCCATCCACTGTATTTTAGCACGTCCTCTAAACTCTGGCACAAAACATTAACTAGGAGGAACAATGAAATATTACATTCCAAATAACTGAGTTAAAGGGATAGTTCAGATTATATGAAGTGGAGTTCTACAAAAAAGGTTACGAACAATAAATAACTTACCTGTTGTAGGTAGTTCCTTTAAACACATTTGGAAAGTTTATTTCTGACCAGACTGATGATCAACAGGCTAGTCTGACAGGAGCTAAGATCAAAGTAGCTAGCTGTTGTCTTAGAACCGCTTCAGTCCTAAAATTATCTTAGTGACTCATGTGAATGTTATTTTACAAACCTTTACGCTGCTGTTAATTTAACAGTATAAAATTGTTCTGGAAGAAATGTCATGATATCACTGCAGTAATTGACAACAGGCTGCACAGCTGTTGCACTAAACTGACCACAAAGTAAAGATTCAGAAAAATAGTGTTTGAACTATTAAAGCTTTGAGAATGGAGTTGTGAAAATCACTGTAATGCAACTTTAACTGGTGATATGTGACTTATATGTGCTGCTGATTAGCCATGCTGCTGATTACCTCATGCTGCTGTATTCATTCATATCTATCTGCTCACTACAGACTCATGTTCGGGCTGCTGTTTAATATACCGTATTATTTTACATTATTAGTGTTTAGCGTATATCTTAGTGTATATCTTAGATCCTTATATACTGTTTCTTTTTATAGTTTATATTTTTGCTATTTTTGGGTGTAACTGGGACCTTGAGTACACAATTTTGTTCCACCTCATGTACGACATTTGATGCGAATGACATTAAAGAATCTTAAACTATAGCTTGTTTTGAGACGGTAATACATTTTGCTAATTTGCCATTTTGACAGTTTTTTGTTTTATTTGAAGCATGTATTCTGTATTGCTGTAAAACACTTTTTGATTTTATGCATGAAAGGTGCTATATAAATCAAGTTTACGTAGTTACTTACTTGTACCATCGCAGACTAGCCATTAGCTCATAAATCTGGTTAGGACAAAACTATTTCTTCAAACGGAGGACGTGCAAAAAGCTGTCAACAACAGGTATGATATTAATTGATCATAGTCTTTCCACAGAACCCCACTTCAATAGATCTGATCTATCCATTTAACAAAAGACTGCCTGAGAAATAAAGCTGCTGTTAGCCACCAACGAAAACAGCCTACTCGAGACTTCCTGATGATGCTGAATTCTACATAAATATATATTTTCTTCCTCCTCTTTTGGCCTCCATTGCTCCACAACACAAAAGCTTCACTGCAGCAAGTAAAGACACACAGAGACACTCAGTCAGAGCTTTGAGCATCACTGAGGCTGTCTAGGTAAAAGCTGGCCTAAATCTAAGCACAGTGATTTGTTGTAACCTCCCCACGTCAGATAATAAAACACTATCCTTACTTTGCAACAGACCACTCACAATCCTGTGTTTTTTTACACCTGGTTGGTCTAAAATAATAATAATATCAATAATAATAATAATGAAGCATAGATAATATATGGAGCACATATCTATCCATGTATCAAGGTTATAGTCAAACTAGACAACAACTATCATGCCACGTCTATGTTCGGCTGACAGCCACTTTTATGTATTTGGATACAGTTATATTCTGGTTTCATTTGATTGTCTATAAACTAGATGTCATAGAGAGAGGCACCAGACAGTAATGAAGGACAGTAAAATAGAGCAGTACACAAATAAACGTCACTCTATATAAATATAAACTCTAGAGTTGTCCATTACCTATGCAGTTGGTCAGTGATTGATCAATGCAAGCAAATACAAAACAGCAAACCTGGAACAGAGGATTTGTTCTGAGCCAGAATCAGCTTTATCCTATCTCTTGTTTTTATTCTTCACACATGGCAGGGGAGGGCAATCTTACCTCAGTTCAGCGCCTAAAAGCATCTATGTCGGTCTATAAAATCCGCATAAAAGAGAGAAGGCACAGAAACACAAACCCACTGTAGAAGTGAGGTGGACAGACAGCAGCGGCTCTCTTTTCTTGGGTTTTGGAGCGGACTGCTTGAAGCTGCATGTCTGCTCGCAGCCTGCAGAGCCTGACTGCTGAGCTCCATTTATCCGCTGCCTCTGAGAGATTGTTTTGGACCTCTGCTTGAACGCAGCGGAGTTGTTCGTCATTCTACTTCTGGTCTAGCTATGAGGTTTCAGTAGCATCAGTGTCCCATTCAGCAGATCATAAACCCAGACATGACTCATCATCGGTGTTCTTGAATCCACCTCTGGAAACAAAACAGCCTTCATCTTTTCATCCAGTGCAGAACTACTCCCAACAGATCTAAGAAGCTTTCCATCATTTTGTCTTTCAGATCAAAACGAATGAGGAAGCAACTTTAAACTACTACTGCCAAGCTCTTTTCTGGATACCTCTTATTTCACCATTCCAGTCTGCCCTCGTGTTTGATTTGCTGTTTTTGATTGGACAGGGTTTCTGTTGTCCCCGGACAGCTTGACCACAGTGTTGTTTGTCGCCACGCTGTCTTCTAGCCTCTCGTCTTGTTTCGCTGTGCCTTTGATGATGCTGGTGCTACGTGGGTGGACAGGCGTTGCTTTCACAGCCGCGGGAGCTTTGCCCTGGGTTAGACGAGGGTCTTCTCCGATGTTGACGGTCAGGTTGGTGTAGAGCGGCTCCAGCTCTTTGGAGAGCAGCTCATAGGTGAGAGAACTGAGGCCATCAGCGTGCCAGTTCAGTCTGGTCCTTTTCAGAAGATCAAATCTAAAATAATAAAAATGCATTGTAAATATTAAATCTGTTTTCCACTTTTCAAATACAGGCCTACTGTATATGTTAAAAGCACCCTATCGATCTCAGGTTTACTTTCTGCTTAAAATAGAGTCAGAGTAATTTCTAAAATGTCCAGTTTATTTTCTCACACTTAAAAAGGCTGTTTCATTAAAGATAATCAACCCTTGCAGGCGTTGGAGAACAAGGTATTGTTCAAAGGGTGTTCACAAAACCTGACATGTTTAAGTTAAATTAAAGATAAATATAAAATAAAAAAGGTGAATGATGCCTCAAGATGACATCTTTTGTTGGTACCAGAGGTATGTGCCAGAGTTTAAAACTACATTTACTTTACAGCACCTTAAAATATAATGTAGGTCTAGTCTTTCTAGTCAAACACCAAAGTTCATGCTCAATAATCCAGGTATAAAATTCATCAATGTTCAGTCAGATCATCTGGACGGCTTCTTTTTTCTGGTCAAATCCTAAAATTATTGCTATGCACAACTGCGCACAATATCGCAAGATCATGTGGAATCAACAACTTCCACATTAAGTTTTAACCAGTTTTGTTCTTGCTAAGATTAGCTGTGACAAATACCGTTCAAGGTATGTGTTGGGGATGAGTCTCAGCTACTACCACACCAAATTTTCGGCCGATATCTGTAAAACTGGCCAAGTTGGAGTCATGTTGGTGCCGTAAAGATCGATTAGCTGTGGTGGCCATCTTGAATCAGGTTGACTCCAAAACTTAATCTGTACTAGATGTACAGTAGTCCCTCTCTACTTGGCGGTTTGTTTTTCACGGATTTGCTATATCGCGGTTTTTCGAAATAAAATTGGACATGATATAATTGGCTGATTGATGGATGAGCCATGGGTTGGTTATTTAAAAGAAATTATTTTAAATGATTTTGCACCATGTGTGCAGCTCACAAGTGAAGGGAAAGCTCCATCCTGCAGCTGATCAGCTGATCTCCTTCTCTGCCACACACACATTTCTCCTGCCGCAGCTTTGTGAAAGGTTAACCCTTTGCTGTCCAGAGGCACTGATCAATGTTTTTCTTCCAACTTAAAATTCAAAATATGTCACACGGAAAACCCTCATAATTACAAATGCTGCACTTCTCTTCTCTACAATTTAAATTTAAATACTGTAACATTTTAAACAAACAATCCATGCTGTACGGATTGTTTATTTAAATTTATTTATTTATTTATTCCTGTATAAATAAAGGTTGATTGATTAAAATGTTACAGTATTTAATTTTAAATTATTTATTGAAGGAGGAAGATTGGGAGTAACAGGTGATGAGTGTGATTACAGCCTGGCACATGTCATGACAAAGTTTACTGAACTTGAACTGAACTTGAACTTGGACTACTGTATCCCTACTTCACGGTTTTTCACTTGTGGTCCCAAACACCCGTGATAAACGAGGGACTGCTGTACATCCAATAATTAGTTTCTGAGGGTTTTATTAAAATCGGTCCTCTAGGTTACGTGATATTTTGCAAACAGACAGGCAAACACACACAAAGGGGGGAGATTACATGATCACCTGCCTTTTAGCGATGAGCAATAGAGATAAAGAAAGTTTGTCTGTGGTGATGTACCTGCGTGGGTTTTGCTCGTTGCCCTTGTCTCCTTTATGCTTGATCATCTTGTAGTGGCCAATTGCCACTGGGGGGCGCACAATCTTCATGCCAGACAGCCGCACTCTGAATAGACAGCAATCAGAAGTAGTAAGAAGAAACAGGAAATTCTCAGTCATACACTTTAATTGAAAAAAATAAAAGTTATGGAAAATATTATGCATGACCTCTAAGTAATAACAGCACTTTTTTTAACATCTACAAAGGAAATTATTCAGTCTAAGGATACCTAAGGAGTACCTTCAGGAACAAAACAGCCAAACGAACATTTTGGGATTGTGGGCACAAAAACATACTCTTATTAGCAAAGACAAGCTCAGTGGATCCCCTTTTCCATCTCTTGCTCGTGTAGCCTTACAATTATACAAGTCCATACAATAGGAGGCAAATAAAGAAGGGAATTTCTTGGATTTATTTAAATTAGCCTGAAATAAAGACAAAGTGCTTCTAAGAGTGAGCTAAAAATGTTTCTATTTTTTGTAATGATTGCATTCAGCGCCAGTCATAAAATACTGAGAAAAGTTGACGAGCTAGAAGAGTGGAGAGAGGGTGCCACCACATAGAAATGGGAAGAGTCTAAGTACTGCAAGCCTTCCAGTTCAAATCTGCAAGCTAATCCATGCAAACATACCCACTGAGCCCACTCCAAGAGACATAAAGTAAAGCAGAGGCAATGGAGAGATGCATGAAGATGAAAGATGATGTTAGATCACAGGAAAACATAAAAAAAACCTGAAAATATGTGGCGTGGTTGTAAATAGGGATGTTCTGATAGGTTTTTTGCTGCCGATCACCGATACAGATCACATGGATTAGCGGTAAAAAAATGTTGATTTAGTTAAGATGAGTGCTACTTGCTACGTGATCTGGAAAATAGGAATGATAAAATCACCTTAATTTGGACAAAAATATGTTTTTATTTACCTTTTCAAGACAAAACATATATAAAAAAAACTTGCAGGCACAATAACAGCAAATATTCAGTCAAAAAGGACAACTGGCAAACATTTAAATGTACCTGCTATATGTAGCACAGTGTCTAACAGATTGAAAACATTAAGGTTCTCAACAGGTTAAATAGTGCAGAAAGTCAAATAAATCTCAAAACATTGATCGGTGTCGGCCGATCACGTTCTTTCTAACGGAAATCGGCTGATCATGATCGGTGGCTGATCGATCGGAACATCTCTAGTTGTAAAAATGAGAACACCAGACGAATGTGTACAGCAAAAGAAAGTTAAAAAGTGGAGGAAGACAGAGGCTGAAACGTGCATCTTATTTCCACACTTATGTGTCAGATTTCCACTTGCACAGTTTACATTTCATTCTGACACCTCGGCTTCATTCATCCAGCTTTACCTGGCAGCAATGTCATCATCTTCTCCACCCCAGCCCCAGTACTGGTTAGGAAAGCCATTCATCTTCATGTACTGATCTGGAGTCACTGCAGAAACCCCTCCAAAATACTGTGGGTACGGCAGCCTGAAAGGGACAACATGTACAATCTTAAACATGTTGTTTCAGGGCAACACAGCAACACTGAAACCTGCAAGTATGCACATCTACCTGTATCTGAATTTGTCCATGGCCACAGACAGGTGTGTGGGGAACTGCTTGTGACAGGTGTAGGTGTTGTGGTCATTCTCAGGCAGCAGGTCAACATCATGAAGGAAAATGCAGCTCCAGTCTTCATCTCTGAGAGCCTCACGCACGCCAACATTCAGCAGTTTAGCTCGGTTAAAGGTACCATTTCCCCACTGGAGCCAGAAACACAAGTTACTTATTAAAAAGGCATGTGTAATAATTTCAGGGGGGAAATGTGCTTAGGATTATTTTTTCAAGTTCCTAAATTTACAGCTTAACCTCCACATTTCCTTCTTCATCTCACTTTAAATCATGCTACATTCACTGCATCTTATATGTGGTAAGATAACAGTATTATTTTTACTGAATGCAGCGTCAGCAGAAAAGCACACTTTCAAGTACAACACTGAATCCAAATTTATTTGTCACAGATTTGTTGGAACTTTCCTGAAAGTCTCCACAGAAGGTGAAACTGAAGTGGACATTGATGGCTTATCCCCCCCACCCCACCCCACCCCCCATACCTGCACTGAGATTAGCGTTGTGATGGAGAAGCATGCAGTTGAACTAGATCTTTGTGGTCATTTGATCAGCGTAACTGACCAGCTTTATACAGGTATCAGCATTTAATCATTATTTAACAGGAATGAGACCAGAAGACTGTTCCAAAGCAGTGCTTTTTGACTCGTAGGCGCATTAATATTATCTTGAATCAACTAGAACAACATGAACACCAGAGCCTGACCTGCTGGACAATGTAGATGCTGTAGTGAATCTGTTGTCTCTGCAGGAAGGGATGGAGGTGGTAAAGAAGGGCACGAAGATGGTGTAGTCGATTCCGATACGGTACCACGATTGCAGTGTGGTGTTTGGATTCACAGTCTGGAGGCCGATAGCGCCCGCCGGGCAACACTAATGGGTTTCTCTGTCTGATCTCCTCCAAAGACAGAGGAGAGGAAAGATGGGCTGACACAGGTCCAACTGGAAAGGAAACAAACAGCATAGAAGAAAATGAAAGGCAACAATCCACGTATTTTACTGATTAATCGTTCCATCCATCCATTTTTTATTTTTTTTTGCGCGCTTCTACTTTCTGGGTCTCTGAGAGCTGGTGCCTATCTCCAGCTGTCACTGTGTAAAGGGCAGGAGACACCCTGAACAAGTTGAAAGTCCATCACAGGGCCACATAGAGACAAATGAGACTAACCACTCACGTTCTCTCACACGCCTCGCGATCCATCATTTTGAGTTTCCAATTAATCTTACATGAATGTTTTTGGTCTGTGGGAGGAAAGTGAAGTACCGTATTTTACGGCATATAAGTCACAGTTTTCTGCATAGATTTGTCAGTCCTGCGACTTTTACTGTACACCGAAGTGACTTATATACATTTTTTTTTTCCATATTCATAACGCAATTTTTGACTGACGCGTTGAATTTCGAAGAACTGCAACAGCGAGTCCTCCCGTACCCACTCACTTCATTCACTGGGCTGTGATGGATGGATGGATGGATGGATGGATGGATGGATGGATGGATGGATGGATGGATGGATGGATGGATGGATGGATGGATGGATGGATGGATGGACGGATGGATGGATGGATGGATGGATGGATGGATGGATGGATGGATGGATGGATGGATGGATGGATGGATGGATGGATGGATGGATGGATGGATGGATGGATGGATGGATGGATGGATGGCGCCACACCACCCAGGTGAAATGAAGCTGTTTAGACCATTAGATAAATGCATAATAAACAGTCAGTGGTGACACATAATTAATGTGACTTATATATGTTGGGGTTTTTTTTGACTGGTGCAACTTATACTCCAGAAAATACGGCACTAGGAGAAAACCCTTGTGTGCATGTGAAGAACAAGCAAACAACCCAGAAAAATCATATTAAAATAACTCCCTGATATTTTTTTTTTCTCTCACCCAACAGGGGGGACGGGATCGGGCAGTCTTTCAGAGGTTGTCCTGAAGCTGGAAGTCCAGTGCTGGAGTTCCGATGTAGAGGAGATGGGGCTCCTAGATGACTGAGGTTGGTGTAGACATCATGAGGTCGAGAATAATCAAACTCAGGCTCTGTGGTGTGCACCAGGACAGACACCAGACCTCTGAAGCCACCCAGGGAAAAGTAGAGCACAAAGGCGAACTGGAAGCCTACGAGCAAGGCTAGAGTGCATGGGGAGTCGAGAGAGCGCCCGCAACAAGCCATCGTGGAGGAGACTTCAGAGGTACACTGAAACTCCAGCTGGTGGGGGGGGGAAGGGTGAGGCAAAACACCAGGTGGAAGAGGAGGTGAGGGTGCGGGGTTAAAGGAGGAGAGGCAGAAGGAGAGAAAGGGGAGATTCAGCCTATAGTGCAGGATCAGGCGTGCAGGAGGTGGGCATCCATCAGCTGGAGTAGGTAGTAGTGCTAAAGCTCAGCCAACGCTGCCATCGCCTCCTGATCACTGAAGACATCAAGAGAAGTTGTAAAGTATTGATAATTATTCATCATTTTTGGTCATAATTTTCACACAGATTGATAGAACCTCCCAAGCATTACAGCACAGCTTGTGTTTGTTTGATTAAAGTAGTGTGGAGGAACAATAAAACACCAATTCTAACATCATCTTGCAAAACATCGCAAGGTTCTTTTGGTGCATAAACCACATTTGTGTCTCCTCATCACAAATACCCTAAATGTTGTGATGTAACAACCATCAAACCATCATGGTTGTAATGTTTCTTCAATATTCACGTATTACTCAGAGCTCTTAAAACAAGTCAAACTTCCACACCAGACTGTAAACATTTCTTCACGAAAATGGCAGACATTAAAGATTCATAAAAATCAAAACACTCAAACGAGTACCGGTAAATCAACACAATTAGAAAATAACTCAGAGCTGTGGAGAAAATGCTCTTGCAGATGCTTTCATCTTCCACGACTGGCAGCTCAACTTACCGAAACAGCTGCAGGTATGAGACGTTTAAACGTGTTTTAAAATAATAAACCACCCTCACAAACACTACAGATTGAACAACTAGAGACTGAATTAAGCCACGGGTCATCTATGTGCTCCACTAGAACAGAGTCTTGTGGGAAGAGATCTTTGATTCAATCACATCATCAGATGCATTAAAGAGTGGTGCCTCAGGCTGCAGAACCCACCATTAAGCACAGAGGAGGATCAGTTTAGGTTCATTTTTGTAATACAGCAAGCCACTGCCCTATACCGCAAACCTCTAGGCCATGCAGACCACTTGGACAAAGAAGGCTGGAGTGCTATCAGTCACATCATGGCCACTTGAGTCGACAAGCCTCAGCCTTTTAGTCCTGCAAGATGCATGCTGAAAGGTTTGAGCCATAAATGTCTTCAGCAGCCTGGGGAAAAGCTTGAACAATCTGCACCATGTCAGAGTGTGCAATAGGTGAACTTCATGGTGTGTCACATTCTTATTCCTACAATTTGTTTATTTGTCAAGATTTTTTCTTTGCATACTGTAGAAGTTGTCCTCTAAAACTTGGGAGTATTGTTGCATTTGAAAGGCTAGCTCTTTGCAGATGCAGATTACCTTGTTTTTTATTTTATAGTAATCTGATTAAAACCAATCCAGGACCAGGAAGAAAACGTTCCACTTTTGTCCTCCTCTTCCTCCGTGCATCATTCCGTAGTCTGGAATTTAAACAGAAAGAAGCTGAGTGAGTAGCAACGCAGCAGCAGATCTGTGTGGTGTCAGATCTTCTCCTGAGAGATAAAATAAGACTGGCTGTGACAAGCAGCTACAAACAGGTGTCATGTTTGTCTCTTTATTTAGAAGGGCTTATCTGCAGCTGTGGTGTGAAAGACAAACATGAAGCAAAACATTTCAGTATTTCAGCTATGTTGAGGTGTATAAGACTGCAGTTAAACACTGAATGCTGAAGCAGAATTCAAAGCAAGGAGAAGATGAATGAACACCATCAGCCCTCTGTTGTTTTCTGTTTTTAGCCCTTCAGATTATTTACATCCAAAATCAGAAAAGAAGCCAACATTTACTCGTCTGAGCGTCTGGCTGCATGTTTTCCTCCATCTTCACGAAGAAGCTGCTTGTTTTCCTCAGTGCTCTGCCGCACCAGCGCGTCCCCCAGCCCGACTTGTCAAATCCAGCCCCCGGCTCGCTCCGACAGGCCGCAGCGGCGGACAGGACCAGATCCTCCTCCTCCTCACCGCGCGCTCCTCCTCGGGCTCATCTCGCCTCCAAGTCTCTCCGTCGCTGCTGTGTGTCCGCTTCCAGCCGCGATGGCATCGCCGCACATCAGCGCGCGAGCGTCGGATCTGCCTCCTCCAACACGGCTGGCTCCGTGCGTGCGGAGGGGAGAGAGGAGGCGCAGCGCCGTGACGCACCGAGCGCCACGTTTGAAAGATTCAGAGCGACTTGTTCTGCGCCTGATGCTTCACTGAAGCCACGGATTCTTGTTGTTGTGGAGGTAGAATAAGTGTGCTCGGTCCGACATTAAAGCTAGAACAATACAGAAACCGCTTAGAGTTGAATTATTGCGCTCACTGCGCAATAATATTGCGTCTGCGTGGTGTGTTAAAGTCGAATTGTGGTTTGTGGACACAGTCAAACGATTCAGGAAGCATTGTTTGAACCTTATAGAAGAAATAAGAAAATGTGTTTTTATGTGAATTTGATCAAGTGAGACAGGGTCTGATGTGACTTTAGGTGTGAATGCTGATTCTGGCTCTTATTGGTTTTATTTTATTTTTCTGTTGGTTTTGTGCTAATGTGTCCATTCAGGCCCTCTATATGTAAATGTTGAGCTCATGTTGAGATGAGCACCATGACTTCAGTTTTTGTTAACTTCTTAATATTTAACTTGATACTCATTATGACCTGGATGACTGAGGACCTTCAGAAACGTTTTTAACTTCATCCATCCATTATCTTTACCTGATTCTTCCTTTTCAGGTCTCGGGGGTCACTGGTGCCCATGTCCAGCCATCACTGTGCGAGAGGTGGGGGACACCCTGGACAGGTCTCCAGTCCATCACAGGGACACAAAGAGACAAATGAGACAAACAACCATTCACTCTCTCACTCACACCTAGAGACAATTTAGAGTTACCAATCAGCCTAACATGCATGTTTTTGTTCTGTGGGAGGAAACTGGAGTACACGGAGAAAATGCACAGAGAGAACATGCAAACTCCACCCAGAAAGGTCTCCAAACCGGGATTTGAGTCATTGTAGCCTGCTCGCTGAGAGGCAGCAGCTCTGCCAGTTGTGCCACCGTGCTGCTCTATTTTTAACTTTGTTTACAGATATTTTCTCCATATAGAGGCCTTAAAATCTCCTCAATTCCTTAAAATATTATTTTTAACAACCGATTCAGCAGAGGAGATCTATTTATGTTTTCTTGTGCTATATACATATCTATCTATCTATCTATCTATCTATCTATCTATCTATCTATCTATCTATCTATCTATCTGTCTGTCTGTCTATCTATCTATCTATCTATCTATCTATCTTTCTATCTATCTATCTATCTATCTATCTATCTATCTATCTATCTATATATATATATATATATATATATATATATATATATATATACA